GTAACCCCCTCCCCCCCCCCTTAGTTTAATTTCTCCCTCTCCACCGGAGCTCCCGTAGGCGGCGTTGTTTTGTGTGTATTTGGGTTTTGCGCTAGTAATTTTTTTTGGAGGCCCTACGGTTAAGCGAAAGGTCACGCACGGGTGTGATGTGGCAACAGGACCGTCTGGGAGGGAGCTCCCGTTCGCGAACACGTACGTGCAGACCCCTACAAAGATTCCCCCACCGACCCTCCCACCGTATAGCACATTGCCACAACTGGCCAATGTGGCAAGGTCCCAACGCTGCTCAGTTGCTGCACGTGTGAGTGGTGGTCGCGAGTTGCTGAGAGAGATGGAAACAGCTTCACTGGCCCAAGATCACAAATCATTGTTTAATTTCGACAAAAAAGATTCCCCCGTATAGCCTGTAACAGACTGTTGGGGCAAGTGCTGTTAGCGAGTAGCACCGATGAAGGCCGGCACAGCACACGAGGTGGTGGCTGTCCAGCACGAAGCCCGGCCGCTTTTGTCTCCCCTAGTGGTTGTTTTTATAAACTGCCAACAGGTACTCATTTTAGGATGAAAAGACCTAGGGGAGGCCCAGAACTGGTTTCGGATATTCGTCACTTATGTTGGCCGTTGAGTAGGAATCGAACTCCGGTCGCCGGAGGATCATAGCGCAGCGCGCTAACCGCTCGTTTGGCTACGCACGGTGCGAAAGAAGCTCAAACATACGTCACAGTACATAGGCACTCACACGCACACACGCCTACGTACACAGACGCACGCGAGCGCACGTACGCACACGAGGGGATGGGTGGCCCGACGCCACGCCCGGCCGCCTTTGTCTCCCGAGTGGCGACGTTTACACACCGCACCAGGTACTCATTTGAGGCTAAGTCGGCCTAGGGGAGGCCCAGAAACCGGTTCAAATAATCGTCACCGGGTCAGCAGGTTCGTAGCGCAGCGCTCTAACCGCTACACTACCGCTCCCCACACACACACACACACGTACGCACGCACGCACACACACGAGCACTCCCCGCGCCCCTGGAATGCGTTTTGTGTTCGTTTGCCCCGAGCGCAGTCAAGAATTATCCGCCCCGCACCGCTGACCCGGGCCGGTCCGTCTGGAATTTTCTTTGCAATTTAATTTTTTTCTCTCTCTCTCTCTCTCTCACAGCCACCCCCCCCCCCCACACCCCCCCAACACAATTTCTCCCCTTTTTTTCCACGTTCATATTTTGCACAAAAAATCCCCCCACCCCCCCCCCCACACCTCACCTCTCGGAAAAGATTACAAAGGTGGCGGCGTGGGCGAGGAATGGCTGGTAATTGCACGGCATGGCGGCAATTAGGTGAGAAGTAATAACCAGGACATGGATCGTTCTCTCGCTGCGTGCGCGTTTGTGTTCTCACTCGTTATTTACCTATTCATCCTTTCGTTTTTGTATCATTTGCTCACTAGTGAGCCTTGTGTTTTCGTATTGACCGTGCAAGGGATGGCGGCGCGCGCAGCATTGTGGGATGCAATTGCATGAATGACGCTCGGTAAAGTGAAATTATTATTCTGACTAAAAGCAGTCCGAGTCTCAGCGGGCCCCCGCCGCTGAGGGAGGGAGGGAGGGAGGGGTGGCCCCGCCAACAACACCGCACGATGTCTGTCCAGTGAACTCGGCTCAAGAGTGTTGGGAACAATGCGGGAGCGGCAAACCGAGAGCCCCGGTTCGGAAAACCCCACCGGGCCGCACGACGCAGGAGCAACGGGCGCTCGGTCAGAACCTCCACACGGATAGATTTGAGAATACCGCTGCCATCGTCCGGAACCGCAAGGCCCCGCGGGGCAATACCCAGGAAAGTTTCCATCCCGACGCGAACAACCAGGCTCAAACTCGCTTTTAGCTTCCAAAAATCAAGTGCATACGCGACGATTCGGTCACAGGGCAAGCACACATTTTACTTTTTTTTTTTAAAACAGGAAAAATAAAAACACGTTTCAAACGAGGCGGAAGAGCGTTTCAAAAGGCGCACAGTGTCCGAAGAACTGCACGCCCCTGCTCTCCTCTTTCATTAAATCGCCACCAGAATGCATTCGAACAAATGTGGCCGAGCGACGGCGGCGGAGATGCATCGACGAGCCAACTAACCGTGGACCGGCTTCACCCTCACGGGGGACTCATCGGCACGGCGCAGTCACCAATGAGCTCACACCGCTGCCAAGTCTGCCTCGGGGGATAATCCGCTCGCACGCAGCGGGAGGTGTGGTGGGGGGGGGGGGCGGGCAGCCCACGAGCCGAGCAACAATCCAATTTGTCCGGAACGGATGGCCAGACCAGCTCCTGTGCGATTATCATTCTGCCGCGGCGAGTTTTCTTTCGTCGCTTACCGAGTCGGATTAAAAATCAGTACCCCCGCCCCCGCCCCAGCCCCAGCCCCCCCCCCTTCCCCGCCGGCGCTGCCCCCTCGGTGCAGCCGCTCCCGTCGCAGCGCCGGGCGCCTCTCCACCTTTCTCCGAGCCCCCCCCCCCCCCCCCCCCCAGCTACGTAGGTCCGTTAACGCGGGGGACCGGCGCGCGCTCATTTCCGCGGGATGTCATTACCGCCGGGAGGAGCGGCCCGCGGCATGAATAACGCGTTGCCGGTTGTTGTCGAAGCCCATTTCTCACATTTCAGACGGAAAACCAAATTGCCAAGGAGAAGGGGGGAAAAAAATGAGTCAACTGGCCAGGTATAACCGGCGGGGGGGGGGGGGGAGGAGGGGGGCGAGAAGGGACGGGGGGGGGGGGAGTTCAGGTGCCACTCTCCGTCTCCCCCGGCGGCGGGGCCTGGCACTACGGAGATCACATCGAGCCGTGGCCGGTGATGGTTACAAACAAACAAAACAAACAAAACTGACGTTAGAAGGTGCAGTCCCCGTCGTTTGATGACAAATGCCACACCGCACGGGTGCAGGGGGCCCTCCCGCCACGGGGGAACTCCCGGAGGGGCCTTGTTGGCCACCCGGGTCCCTGCTGACGCGGCCGTGTTCAAAGAGACGAGAGTACCCGCAACATTTGACCTCACCAGAGGGCGACATTCCAAATCGACCCGCTGCTACGGTGTACCCATGTAGATTGCTGGGTGGACAGAGGTGACCGCCGGGGGAGGGATTTTAATAAACCAACAGCGTCAACTTCTGGGGACTCGTCAGCGGCGTTGTTTGAGAAAAGCCTGCATTGTTTTGGCAACGGCGCGCCCACCTTTAATCTACGCGGAGAGACCCACGCAGGTCTGTCCACCGATCTGCTCATCCGTCGGTCCGTTATGGGCAGCCACTTAAGACGCGTCCGTCAGGTTTCCAAAGTGCCGACTAACGGACGGATGGGCACAGCAGTCCCCCCCTGACCACAGTCTGTCGGGCCCCACCAGAAGCTGCCACCGTGCGGGCGAGCGTTACGTGAGACCGCAAGGAAGAGCGGAGGGGGGAGAAAGGGGACGGGGGGGGGGGCTTCCTCCCGCGGTGGGGGGGGGGGGTGGGCTTCCGCTCGGGGAAACCCGGCCCGCCTTACCGCGGGCAGAACCTGACACCGCGTCCGCCGCGATTTCGGTGCGCGGGCGCCCCCAGCCGATGGCCGCCCGCCCGCCCGCCCGCCCGCGCGTTTGCCAAGCTGCCGGGCGACTCCGGTTCGACTCGGCGGCGAACGGAACGCGGAGTGAGGAAAAAAAACCCAGCCACCTCCCCCCCCACCGACGTGAATAAGAACCGCGTGCAATAAAGACGTCACAGGCTTTTCTCCGGGCGCTTCGGATTTACACTTCCCGGGCACAGCACCGAATGAACAAACAAAGAAATGGGTGTCAACTTTCGTAAGCGGGGGACACCCCCCCCCACCCCCCACCCCCCACCCCCTCCTTCTCCTCGCAGAAAAAGGTCTCGAGACTCAGTGAAGTATTCCTGGGTAAATAATAAATAAGAATAAACGATGTCACTGCCACGGACGAGGCTTCACGGGTGGTGCTGTCGCACAGTTCTCCACGGGACCTGTATTGAAAGCTACAGTTTCTGACATTCAAATTGGGCCATTTAAAATCGGCCAGTCGGGCCCGAAGCCACATCTGCGCAACTAAATTTATAGCAGCCAAACACTCTGAAACGCGTGATGTTTCTAAATGTGGAGGGAAAAACTCAGAGGACCCGGAAAAAAATCCACGCAATCACGGAAAGAGGGGCACGCAAACCCCAAATATACAGCAGCAGCAGGCGCCAGGGTCGGGATCGAACCCACGACGACCTCCTGTATGCCAGGCGAGGTAGATAACATCTCCTAGTCACTGTGGCACCCACCACTTCCATTACCATGAATCAACCAGGAGGTTTAACCTCTGTAGGAGGCCCCTCTTTCCTTTTAACGCCCCATCTTCTTTAGGCCCCGCCCCTTTCTGGGCAAGACCACGCCCCTTCTTTAGACTCGACCCATTCATACCCTTTGTAGATTCTACCCATTCTTCTTTAGTCCCCGCCCCTTCCCGTGTCAGGGCCCTTCCCGTGTCGGGCCCCTTCCCGTGCAAGGCCCCGCCCCTTCTTTAGGCCCCGCCCCTCTCCGTGTACGGCCCGCCCCTACTTTAAGGCCTCGCCCCTTCAATTTTTGGGCACTGCCCCGTCCCTCTTTAGGCCCTGCCCCTTACTGTGTGGGGCCTGGCCCTTTCCTCCGGACACACAGATTTCAGCTGGGTTTTTGACCATGGTGGGGGGAAGAGGTGGGTTGTTGTGGTGTGGGGGGGGGGGGGGGGAGGGGGGGGGTGGAGCGCGCGTGGGCAGCAGCGGTCGTCTTGGAATAGGGGGGCAGGGGCGGCTTCTTCATGACGCTCATCAGAACCCGCCCCAAAGAGCAGCCAGGCAATTAACGCGCGACGGCGCTCGCGCGTCCCCGTACGGGCCTCCAGAAATGCGCCGCCGCGGGGAGCCGCCGCGCGGACCTCGTGCGGGAAAAGCGGACGAGCGGCCGAAGAGCCGAGCGGCCCGTCGCCGCGCGCCGCGCTCACCGGTCAAGACGCTCGGCCGTCGGGGCGGCGCCGTGGACGACCGCGGACGTGCGAGGCGGGGCGGGCCCCGTTTCGTACGCTTGCAGCTTCACCTTCAGGTCCGCCACCTGCGCACCGGAGGCAACGGCCGCGTCACGCTTCCGCGCAAACGCCCGCGCGCCTCGGCAACATCGCCGCCGCGGCGGCGCCGGGCACAAACGCGCGGCGGTGCCGCCACAGCAACGCGGCAGGAGTCGCCACAGCGGCGGCGCCGGCAGCGTGAGCTGTGCCCCCCACACCGCCCCCGGGGCCAGAGCCGCTGGCATCCAGGAGATGAGGCCCGTGCAGCTTGCACAAGCAACAGGCGTCCACGTTGTCGGCAGAGGGTGCCGCGCTATGCTCCATCGTCTATGCTCGTCAGATCTCAGGAGCTAAGCAGGTTTGAGCCTCAATAGTGCCTGGGTGGGTGGCCGCCATGCATGCATGCACACAACAGGATTTCATAGTGGGCTGCGGAGCTACGTGGTAGACAGAATGAGGAGTTAAAAAGAAGATGCAGTACCTCGGTAAAAACTGTGTTCACGTACGTACGTACGCATGCATGCTGAACTTCTTTCGCGTAGCACAAAGCCACGCGTGGTCCCCCCCCCCCCCCAAGCCAAAACAATTAGCAATTCCCGCTGAGGTCACGCACGGTACGTGATGCACAAAGCAAAGCCAAATTTTAGGTGGAGAAAACACACGAGGTTCGTGACATGAGCGACAGAGGTTGGTCGTCCACGATTCCACGAACAACAGAGGTGGATGACCACATGGAGAGAAGAGGACGGGAGAGGGGTCTGACACTGAAACTAAGAGGCGCAGAGACTCCCCGGAAACGTAAGCGGTAACAAACACCGGCCAACATCGGCACGCGGATATAGCCACAGCGCGCCTGATGATGATGATGATGCTGGTTGTTGTTGGAATTACCGGCGGAACGTTCCGTTACTCCAATTGTAAATGCGGTAGTGGGGTTGATTCTCCAACAGGCAACCGGCGTGCTGAACGAGTAGCAAATTGGCACGTTTTCGTTCACGTGACAAACCCCCTTTGCGAATGATTCCGCTGCGCGTCGGGTGGTGGCGGGTTTGATGACACGACATTTACGTTTACGCGATCCAACGATCACGCATCGTTGGATCGCTCTCAGACGCGGGGGCGGGGAGGGGGGGGGCGACTCACTGCCAGCTCCGAGAGTTCCAAAGCGGAGAAGCGTCCTCGCGCAATCGTAATTTTATTTAGGCCTATCACACAAACCCCCCCCACCCCCCCACAATTTTACACGTTCAATAAATGCGTATTTTTAAACGCGAGAAGTTATTTTTATCGCAAAGGCGGTGACGCAACGTGCGCGTGTGTTATGGGGGGGGGGGGGGGGGGGGGCGGAGGATGTGGGAGGGTCGGGCGGTTTCGGTTGCCGTCTGTTGCCTCCCCCCCCCCACTGCCCCCCCCCCCCCGCCCCCCATCCGTGGCACGGCAAAAACCGAGACGGCAGCAGCCCAGCCCAGCAGAACTCGAGAGCAGCCGTGGCGAGACTCAGCGATCCCCCTGACACGAGGGCCCCCCTCCTCCAGCTCAGCGTACAGAGAAGAATGGGGGCGCGGGCGTGCTCAGGGGACAGAGACGCGGCCAGTAACGATGGACGGACGGGGCAAGGGAGGGGGGCAAGGGAGGGCGAAGGCATTTGTGAAGGGAGCATGGACGGAGGGAGGAAGGGGGCATCAGATCCGGTGAGGCAGTGGCGAGGAAGATTGAAGCACGCAGATACTGAGAGGGGGGGGGGGGCATGTAACGAGTCAGGATGTTCTGCCGTCGTGATTTTCCCCCCGTGACGTTATCGCGGGGCGCTCCGTCGGCGTCATTGGACAAAAGTACCCAATGAGAACTTTCGTTGAGCTCGCCTGCAGCAGTTCTGCCCTTAATAATAGAATGTACCAGCGGGGCCGATGTTGACTGCCTCGCCTCGTACACACGAGGTCGTGGGTTCAATCTCGACCACGACGCCAGCTTCTGTGTGCGTGTCTCTCTCTTCCCGTGGTCGGGTGGCTTTTTTCTGCGGGTCCCCCCACGGTTTTTTCCCTCCAGATTAAGAATCAACATCGCGCGTCGAGAGCGTATTTGGCTGCTATGAATGTCCGCGCGATAGGCCACTTTGTAGAGCTATCATTTGTGGCGGCCACGTCACACAGCTCAGTGGGCCTTACCTGGTAAAATTGAAATCGTTTATAGGTTGATAATTATCGAATCGAGCCAAGGCCCTCGAAGCGCTGGGTTTACGTCACCAAGACATTGAGCAACAACATTACGATCGGTTTATTTTTTAGGAACACAGCTTTTGCCACGACTTTAATTCAGCTTTGATCATCTCTGCCAGAGCTATCGTGACCCACCGCCCCCACCGTTACAGACAGACTACTCGACGGACAGACGGACGCACCGACGAACGGACGGACAGAGCTCATTTAAAAACAAAAAACAAACACTTTCAACGCTCCTCGGAAAGCGTCGAAAGGTGCCCGCGGCCAGGGGTGCGCGGCAGGGCCTCACCTCTTTCCGCAGCTCTGTGCAGATCTTGGCGTAGCGGCTGATGTGGCAGTCGAAGCTGACCACGTTGCTCTTGAGCTGCAGACACCGCGGGGGGGGGGGGGGCGGGGCGGGGGGGAGTGTGGTGGGTTGGGGTGGGGGGCACAGAGAGGGAAGAGTGAGAATGCGTCCAGATTAGATCGATGCTCTTCAAGTCTATTAGGACGTCAGGTGCCGGCGAATGACTATTGGCATTGCAGGTTTTCGCCGACGGCAGAACCAGTAGCGGCCATCGATCGGCGCGGGTAGCGCCGCACGCGCGCGCGCGAATAAATAAGCGTCACAAATAATAATAGCGAGTTATTTGCATTGATATGGCATTGTTTAAAATGCCTCGGCAATTGAAGGCGACCTGCGTCACAACTCAAGCAGGCAATCCGCAGTGGCAGGTCGCCTCTGCTCGCGAAGGTGCAACAGTTTCAAGCAAGCCCGATGCTGCCAATTAAACATTGAAATGTCAAATAAAAAGAGTCTGGGGGGGGGGGGGGGGGGTCTGTTTGCGCTGAGCCAATGCTTGCTGAAAAATGTCACTTCCAGAAGGCCGTATGGCACGTGTGCACAGCACTTGCATATTTTTTTTTACGTGGAGGGACGTGCACGGGAAGGAGGCCAAAATTGCCTCCCAGTCTAATTTTGTTCATGAACTCATTGGTTGGCTGAGATTGCTTCCGAGAGACACCTATCGACGGGCGGCTGAATTGCAAAATCACTCTCATCATCATCACCATCACGATCACCCTCGTCACCATCACGATCACCATCGCCATCCCATTGCCGACGATGTAACCGTCAGAATCGGAACATGCGTTTGCAACCGGAGGTGATTCCGACGAGCCAGGAGTGATGATTTTTTTCACATGTGGCCCAGAAAATCATGAAAGACGCCCGCCGGCAGGGGTGGGGAGAGGGGGGTAGGGGAGGCGTGGGGGGGGGGGGGGGGGGGGGGGCTTGTGTCCACCACCGAACGCTCGCTCCGGCCGGAAAAAAAGCGGACGGAGCGAGCCTCCGACGGCGGTGGTCGAGGCGCCGGCTCGTTGCAACGGCGAGGCGCCGCTCGTTGCAACGGCGAGGCGCCGCTCGTTACAACGGCGAGGCGCCGCTCGTTACAACGGCGAGGCGCCGCTCGTTACAACGGCGAGGCGCCGCTCGTTACAACGGCGAGGCGCCGCTCGTTACAACGGCGAGGCGCCGCTCGTTGCAACGGCGAGGCGCCGCTCGTTACAACGGCGAGGCGCCGCTCGTTGCGACGGCGAGGCGCCGCTCGTTGCAACGAAGCGGCGCGTGACGGAGGCGGCACAAAACCTGCCACGGTGGCGGCGCCAAAAAAAAACCGGCACCGCGGATGGCACAAAAATATCGCTCGCGTGCGTGCGTGCGTGCGTGCGTGCGTGCACGCGCGTGCAGGTGGGCGGGCGTACGTGGGAGCGGGCGGGCGTGCGAGCGTTATTGGCCGACCTATTTTGGGGGCGCTGCACCAATAAAGGCACGGAAACCCTTTGGGGTAGCGATGACGCACGAGCTGCAAAGGACACGAGGGGGTGGGTGGGGGGGGGGGGGGGGCAGGAGGGGCAGCAGACGCTTGCGGAGCGTGCGGGGGGGGGGGAGCGGGGCTTATTACGTTAAATTAAATGTCTGCCTCCGCGCACGCCATGCATTATTGATACCCGCGCGCCTCACATACGCGCGCGCACGCACGGGGACGCGATTCTGTGCGCGTGTGTGTTTTTTTTTTACTACTCATGCCGCACCGCCGGCGCCGTGTGGACTTTCACCAAGACAAAGATCCCCGCGCCGTAGAGCCTCTGACAAGACTGTTGGGGCCAGGTGCTGTTAGCGAGTGGCGCCTAACGAACGCCGGCATGACGACACTCGATGGGGGTGGGTGGCCAGCACCAAGCCCGGCCGCCTTTGTCTCCTTGGTGGCGATGTTTACACGCCCCACCAGGTAAGCATTTGACCCCCCCCGAGTTGACCTACGGGAGGCCAAGGACCGGTTCAAATATTCGCCACTGTAATTGGTCGTGAGCGGGGAATTGAACTCGAGTCGTCGCTGGGCGCGTAAGCGCAGCGCGCTAACCGCTACAACACCGCTCCAAAGACGAAGATCCCCCGTGTAGCCTTAACGGACTGTAGGGGCAAGTGCTGTTAGCGAGCAGCACCTACGAAGGCCGGCACGGCACACGAGGGGGGTGGGCGACCAGCATCGCGCGCGGCCCGCCTTCGTCTCCCCAGCGGCGATGTTCACACACCGCACCGGCTACTCATTTGAAGCCGAGTTAACCTAGGGGAGGAGGGGGCCCAGGTCCGGTTCAGCAAATCCGTCACCGGTGTTGGCCGTGAGCGGGAATGGAACTCGGGTCGCCGGGTTCGTGGAGCAGCGCGCCGACCGCGACACACCACCGCTCCCCGCGCACAAGAGCCCGCAGCGTGCGTGCCAGCGCCAAGGCTCAGCGCATCAAGCCTTCGCGCAAGCGGGGGTCAGCTTCTTGGTTCCTCCCTCGCAAAAAACGATCGCTTCGTCCGTCTCCCCGCCGCGCCCTCTCTCTCTCCGTTTGCACGTCGCTCCGTGCGTCCCCCACCGTTCAAGTCTCTTCATCTCCCCCTTCTCCCTCTCTCTCTCTCTCTCTGTCAATACGCCCGCGCCGATCTATCTCGTTGCGCTGCCTCCGTCACTCTCCGTCTCTCGCGGCGGGCTCTCATTTGCTCCACCGCAGCGGGTGGTGGTGGTGGTGGTGGGGGGGGGGGCGGCGAGCGGTGGCTCACGAACGCAGAGAGACGGAAGAAGGGGAGAGAGAGAGAGAGAGATAAGAGAGCGAGATCCTTCTGTTGGACGCGCAGGCAAAACAAAACAGGTTTGCTCCTGCTAAATCTGCGCCATCGCGTCAACTCGATCGACACCGGCTGGGAGCGACTGCACCCCAGAAAGAAGGAGTTGTTGTTGTCACCTAAGGGCAGTGATTCTTCACCTCTACTGCAGCCTTGCACCCCCTTTTGGTTCTAAATCGTCGAATGTAAAACGTAGATAACGACATAGGGGGTTTGATGAAACAAAGTAAGTTGTTACTTACGTTGCCCCATGATTTACCTTTTTAAAATAATCTGGCCATGTCTCGCACCCCCTGGGGGTGCATGCACCCCAGGCTAAGAACCACTGGTGTAGTGTATAGCGTAGTGTATAGCGTAGTGTATAGTAATGCAGTGTATAGTGTAGTGTATAGTAATGCAGTGTATAGCGTAGTGTATAGTGCAGTGTATAGTAATGCAGTGTATAGTGTAGTGTATAGTAATGTAGTGCACAGTAATGTAGTGAGTGTTTAGTAGTCTCGTGTATAGTGTAGTGTAAAGTAATGTAGTGTATAGTGTATAGTAATGTAGTGAGTGTATAGTAGTCTAGTGTATAGTAATGCAGTGTATGTATAGTGTAGTGTATAGTAATGCAGTGTATAGTAATGTAATGCATAGTAATGTAGTGAGTGTATAGTAGTCTAGTGTATAGTGTAGTGTATAGTAATGTAGTGTATAGTGTAGTGTATAGTAATGTAGTGCATAGTACTGTAGTGAGTGTATAGTAGTCTAGTGTATAATGTAGTGTATAGTAATGTAGTGTATAGTGTAGTGTATAGTAATGTAGTGTATAGTAATGTAATGCATAGTAATGTAGTGAGTGTATAGTAGTCTAGTATATAGTGTGTAGCGTATAGTAATGTAGTGTATAGTGTAGTGTATAGTAATGTAGTGTTTAGTAGTGAGTGTATAGTAGTCTAGTGTATAGTATGTAGCGTATAGTAATGTAGTGTATAGTGTAGTGGGTGCGCGATACACCCAGGTTTTCACAAGGGGTCCACGCACCGCCATGCTCGGCCAATTCGAGCACTGGCCGCTCGCCTTAGTCTGGAAGGGAGAGGAAAAAAACCAAGAATACCCAGAGAATATCTACCGCGTACAATTTGTCACAGAGAAAATAGACAAAGTCAAGGCCAGGCATTTTGAAGTCAGTTTCCTACCCCCCCCTCACCCCCTCTTCTCACGAACGGAGCTTTACATGTGAGCTGGAGGCACAGGGAGGGACTCGCAACTCGAGGTGGGCTGCATGGTTGTGACAAATTAGATAATCTTTCAACATCGAAGGAGTGAGCGGGTGGGAGGGGGGAGGTGCGAACGGGGCTTGCAGCACACGGCAGCGATAACCATATCGGTTCTCTCTCTCCCGCTCGTTCACTCGCCCGCTCCCTCGGTCTCTTGCCCACCCCTTAGTCCTCCTCTCTCACTCACTCACCCTCTCACTCGCTGTCGCTGGCTCATCCACTCGCTCTCTCACTCACCCAGTCAACCGCTCGCTCGCTCACCTACTCACCCGCCCGCTCGCTCGCTCACTCACTCACTCACCCGCTCGCTCGCTCACTCACCCACTCGCTCGCTCACTCAATCGCTCGCTCACTCACTCACCCACTCGCTCGCTCACTCACTCACCCACTCACTCGCTCACTCACTCACCCACTCGCTCGCTCACTCGCTATCTCTTGCTCATCCACTCACTCACTCTCGCTCTCACTCACCCACTCGCTCACTCTCTCACCCACTCACTTGCTTGCTCTCTCACTGACCCACTCACTCACTCTCTCTCACCCACTCACTCGCTCGCTCTCTCACTCACCCACTCGCTCGCTCTCTCTCTCTCTCACCCACTCGCTCGCTCTCTCTCTCTCTCACCCACTCACTCGCTCTCTCCCACTAACCCACTCACTTTCTCTCACTGACCCACTCTCACTTTATCTCTCACTGACCCACAACAACACAACAACAACCGCCATTCGCCACTAAGTGGCGGTGACGTCACCACGACGCTTGTGCCAGGCTATGTGCACCCTGAGGCCACATGAAGTGTCGAACGCCCGCTGGCAGGAGGTCACGGGGCAGACCCAGGTGCCACGGGTCGACTGACTGAGATGACTGGCTGATGCACCACCTGTGCCCCCTACTGTGCCAACCTGCTGTGCTTTAGCCACCCGGCGCTCCGCTCGTTGTTCTGAGCGTCGCTC